CAATACAGCACAGAACAGTTGACTTGTCCCAGTGATGCAACCAGATTCAGATTTAGTTCTCACAGTGTAACATAAAATGCCATCCCACCAGCCAGTATATTTCAGTTAGCCTGCTAGTAGCGGTTCCTGTCACCGTTCTTGTTAATTTTATTTCTTAGAAATGGTTGGTCACTGTGATGCATATATGGTCACTAAATGCATGATACACTGTGTCAACTTGAAAAGTTTAGAAGTTCAACTAAGGGACTAAGCAGTGAGCCAAGTTCCTCACCTTGCAGACATGCTCATCCTGTGTAAGAGGAGGATGAGGAGATTGTGAGTGTTGCCCCTCCCTGGAAGGGAGTAACCTGCCTACAATATGAAGGAGGAAAAATTGCCTGCTCCCCACCATTTGCTTGTGTTGCTTTTGCTGTCTTCTGCTACCCCTCTGCCGTGACACCCTGCCTTGAAGTCAGCTGATTGTAGACTGAAACCTCTACAGTGAATTAAATAAGCCTTTCCTTCCTTAATTTTAGGTGTTGGGTATTTTGTCTCAGCAATGAGAGAAAATAATGCATATTGTAAGAATCAATTAAAAAATAGCAAGTACACTACCTATGCACATCCCCTGTATAGATCCCACAAACACTTTTCTCCCTAAGCCTTTGGGGCCTGACAATTTTATAACTCCCATTCCTTGAGAATTCTACCCTGGTAAATGACACTGCAGCTTTCTAACCAGAAAAAGGAAAGAAAGATTTATTTTGTTCTGTTAGAGGACCCCACATCTGACCTGCCTCCTCCTCACTTCCAACAGCCCCACGCTGCCCAGGCAGCCCCCAGCCCTCCACTGCCAGCCCAGGCTCTTGCACCACAGCCTTCTGCTCTCCCAGATTCCACAGCTTCACTACCAATAACACCTGAGCATCTCCTGAGCCACAAACTCACTTCCCGTCATGTGTCATCAACATTGATAAAAGTATTGGCAGTCCCATTGGCCTCTAGGACGTGGACTGCAGCCTAGTCAGCCACTACCTCTCAGCTGAGGCTCCAACTCACCTCCAGCTGCCATTCTGCATCTGCTCTGAAGCTCAGGGAGGCACACCCAGTCAAGTATTCCTGATGTATTATCAACCTTCCACTCCACTGATCTCCTAAATTGGAAACATCACAACCTGTCCTATTCAGAGAAGGCCCAGGTATGTACTTGCATCCATTTTCCAGACCCTCCTGACAATTGTCAGCAACTCATTCTGACTCTGTTTAACACCAAGGAATGCCACTATATTTTAGATGGAGGTCAAGTCTGGGTAAAATGAAAATTCCCCACCACTGTGGTTGATTCTGATGCTTGGATGAGCTCTTCCCTAAATGTGTCCAGATTGGGACTAGAATATGGAAAAAGGCCATGAAGCCTTAGATCAATCAGTACCACACTGCTCTACTAACAAGCCTCAGAGAGGGAGGCAAAAAACCAATAAACATGTCTAAAATTACTGAAGTTACTCTGGAAATTTTATTATGATTCTGTGAAGCCTACTGGGTCTAAATATCCTTTGACCCTAAAGCCCCTGAGACTCAACAAATGGTTAGTGCTGTCTTTGTTGTATAATCAGCCTCTGCCATCAGGAGAAAAATTCCAAAGCCAGCCTTACTTGCATTCAGGACCATGATCCTAGACCTGATCTTGACTCTGTATTCTAGGAAGAAGGATGACATTTACATGAGCCTGAAATGCCTGATAGTCATAACCCTGAAGTTTTAAGAGACTTGTGTCCAGGAGCAAAGGACTCACTCTCCTGCTATTAACCATGTCTCCTTTGGTGATCTAACTCTGTCCTACTACAACCCATGTTGCTGTTAAGAGATACTCCGTGTCACAAAAGGCTCAATTTAGCATCCAACCTCACATCTCTTGCTTGAAACAGTGTTGACTCCTGATAGACTATCAACCTCTCTCCCTTCCAGCTCCATCACAGTCACCCACACAAACAGTTAAAATATATTTATTATGCCTGTAGAGCCAGTTCAGGATCTCCAGGCTGTCAGTTCCACTGCAATTGCCCTCGATATACATTGCCTCAGTCTGCTAACCACAGTCTGCTACCCACAGCCTGCTGTGTACCTGTCTGGCAGTCGTCTGCCACCCAAAGCCTATTGGTATACCTGCATGAACCTGAAGAATGAGTTGTTATGCCTTCATTTGGGCTCCTGTCAGCCAGCCCCTCTTTGCCTTCAAATGAAAAGACCCCAGTTCTGAACTCGAAGGTTAATCAACCTGGACTCAACCTCTCAGAGATTCAAAAACCTGTTCACCTTGCTAGTTTCCCAGATGACTGCACTTCTGATTAACGACACCCAAGCTGCCTGATGGAAAGACACAAAGACTCTGCTACAATATCTGAAGAAACTGGCTAAAAGATATCTTGGGGAAAGGTTCAGAAATTCCATATATAACTGAAACTAAACTTTTTTATTGGTAAGTGATGATATGTGACTTCAAAGACTCTTAGTCAGACTGTCAGCTCCTGGAAGCACCCAGGAGCCTATTTGTGTAAACACCTGACCCAGTCCCTAAAGGTTTTGTCCCTGATTTGCCTCTATTCTCTAAGAGCCAATGTCCTTCTGATCAAGAAAATAGACAGGCTCACCTTAGTCTGAGACCTAAGGTTCAGGTGTCACATACTCTACTAGACCTCCGAAATGACTGTGGACCACTCAATGCTGCCACATACCTGTCCACCAATCTGGGCCCACCAGATCATGATTGCCTGGCACTGACTGATGAAATGTTCTCAAGATTTCCAGACTTAAAAATGACCCCCTGACAGATGCTGAGTGCATCCTGTTTACAAATGGAAGTACATCTGTTAAGAATAGAGTCTGATAAGATATACATGATGTAGTCACCTTGGACAAAGCTATTTCGACCAAAGCTCTCCAGCAGGAATGTTCTGCACATCAGAGTGCTTCCTGAAATTGTTTGGAAAATGTCAAAAGTGATTCCAAACCTGCACTCAAAATAATCCAGTCCAGAGGCCTAAGCCATCTCTGAGTATCAGATTGATTAAAACATCAACCTGAGCCAGAAAAGTACTTCCCGGTACTTCTAGGTCCATCTTAACCAAAGCCAGACCTTCCCTCACCAAATGTTCTGCAAGTTCAAGCCACAGTGCTAGCGTCAGTACCCCTGCAGCCAACCCAGGCTTCAGAGTCTGTTATTGGCCCCGACCTCCACCCAGCAAACAGATCGATTTCACTAAAGTGAAGCCTCATAAGGGCTAACATATCTGTTGGTACTTATATACACCTACTCAGGCTGGTCCAAGGCACTCCCTATCTGCACTGAGAAGACTACAAAACTCTGTAGGATCTTGCTGTGAAAAATAATTCCCAGATATGGTCTACCTTTCACCACTGGTAGTGACAACAGACCTGAATTAGTAGCAGAGATAACTAAATAAAAACTACGTCCAGCATATAGGCCACAAGCTATAAAAAGTTTAAAAAAATATTCCTGCAGAAACAGCTTGTAACTAGCTCCATAAAAGTTTATTGAAAGGACAGTTATACCTGTAGTCATGCCTACACACACACACACATAACTCAGTCTCATGTTAACTACCTCTACAAGTTTCAAAAATCCAGCTTTAGATTCACCATTCCAGAGTTAAAAGAGCCCATCCAGATGTCTATTGGAGAGTTTACCTGACCAGAAAGTTCCTCTAAAGTTTACTCTAAAGAGACCACACACTCGAAGCCCTGATCTGGTCACTGGACATTGTCCATGCCTGGGATGAGGACACTGTTCACAGAATTGTTCCATACGTATCTTCCTTTATTTTGTGCCTTTTCAGGCTGTTTTCCCCTGTCCTTGCTTTCATTTCATCCCTGCTCTGTTGCTAGCTGTGGCTTAGAATAAAAAATAACCAGTAAGGCCCTTTCCCTTATTCTACAGTTGACCAAAATATGAAAAGTGTCCTAGGCACATTGGACATGCTCCAGGGTCAAACTGAATCCCTTCCTAGAGAAGTGTTAAAACATGTCTCTTCCTAAAAACAACTTAAGGAGGGATTCTATAATAAGGAAAAACTTTCCAATTTGGGGGACCTTGACTAAGAACCCATCCTAGGACCACTGACAGCCCTAATGTTACTGCTTCTAGTTGGGCCTTTAGCTCAAAAAGATGACATGTAATATGCTCAAAAAAGATTTGCCAGGGAAACTAAAAGAATAGGGGAAATGTAACACACAGTGTCCCCTTAGCCAGTATACTTCAGTTAGTTACCCAGGTAGCCTTTCCAGTTCCAGGTCCCATTACTTCTACTTCTTAGAAATGGATAGTCATTGTGATGCATAGTTGGTCACTATGATGCATACTGTGAGAACCAACCAAAGACACCTCTGTACCTCCTACTTTACAGACCCCGTAAAAACCTCCATCTTCGACCCTTCAGAGTCTGACATTTTTATAAGGATAGATTCCTTACCAGTGCCTGTCTAACAATAATTAAATCTGCCTCCAAATCCTGAATGCCATCTCAGTGTTTCTGTTATTATAACAATGGGTTGTCAACCATATGCCTTTCCCTCTCCAATGAAGAGTAGCTCAGACCAGCAGCTAAACCAATGACTTCCTAGCCAGACCTTCTGGGCTCAATCCTTGCTCTGCAATTTTCTACTGTGAATCTCCAACAAGTCACTCAACTTCTTTATATCTCAGTTTACTCATCTTAGAAATAAGAAGAAACACTTCTTATTTTAGATGAAAGGAGAATTGAAGTATAAAATATTTAACCTATTGAGCAAATATCAAGTTCTCAATAAATGTTAGCTATCGCTATAGAACAGCTTCTTTTTCTTAATATTATGTGAAAACATTATAGCCTATAACTATGATTGTCAAAAATTATATGATACCCAGTGAACTAAGCGGTTGCTTATCACACAAAATTAGCCAACAGGAGCAAACTTTGCAAGTTTCTATTTGTCTTATCAGTGTTAACAGACAGTTACATTACTTGGCAAAGAAGTTGTCTGGGTCTGTATCTCTCTCTTGACACAAATGTTCACTGCCAGTAAGTTTTGCTTCTGTTAGAGACACATTCTTTGGTCTGTCATCTTTATTCGAGTTAATTATGCAGTCTTCACGTTCTGGTATTTTCTTCTCACAGCACTCTTTGATTTTGCTGGAGATGGAATCTTGTTTTGAACAAATATGGCTCATAACCTTGCTCTGTACCAAATAAGAACAAAAAATGGCTTTATTTTCAAAGTTTCCTCAGGGCTGCACCCTTCATAATGGAATGGTTGTATGCAAAACCAGTCATGAGCACAACATCTGGAAAAGCCTCATCAGTCAATTTAATAAATAATATTTATTTAAATTTTGTATTCATGAAATACACATGAAATTTCATATTAACACAAACTTTTTCTCGTCATATAATTATAAAAATAAGCTATATCACAATTCACATTTATTCTTAAGTATAAAACTGTTAAATACTCTTATTCTTCTGAGTTCTTGGCATCTTATATTCTAAATAGTATTGCTTTCCCATAAGAATTCACCTGTGTTGTCAATGGTGATCTTTAGAGACATGCCAGTGTAGTATTCTACACTTGGTCTTCATTGGGCTGAAACTCCATTGCCAAATACATGGCAAAAACTCAATAAATATTTGATAAATGAATGGAAGAATGGGAAGCAAATAAGCTATGATAGCAGCTACCAGATAGGTCTCAAATATAGGAAGCTCTTCTACTCATGATATTATCTTCCTATGGACATGATGAATTTGAATTTCTTCAAAAATGTGAAATAGAAAGCTTTATACTCTCCTCTGTCTCTATCCTTCCTCCTGATTCAGACTCCTCCATAAAGTTAAAAATTAAGGAGAGTTTAAGGGCTACCTAATTTATACACTAGCTGGATAATTTTTAAAAGCTGATCAAATCCCTGGTCCCCCTTCCAAACTGTCCAGAATGAGTCTGCATGTTCTTCTCACTCTGATATAGCCTTCGTCGTTGTTTCTGACCTCCCTGAGTATATACAACCTGATCCCACTGGAATCTTCTGGTAATCTAAGGTGAAGCATGGGATGAATCTGAGGGCTGAGCTGAACAACAGAATGGGGCTCAATACCATGTTTCCAACCAGCCACACAGAGCCAGTCTGCAAACATTCAGTTTGCTGAGCGTATTGCTGTTCCTGGCCCAACCTATCATGTAGTCTCTGAGAACTCACTTCTATTTTTAGTTAGACAGAATGAAATTTGAAATGTAATATGACCCCTTAGTCTCAGTCCCAAATTTCACAGAAAATCTCAATTGTATCCTAATTTTACAATTAAATTTAACATTATAAAATGCACATTTCTATAAATAAATAAATCATGAGTAAATTCCTTTAACGAAGGTACAGTTAGGAATAAAATAATCCTTTGACACCTAATGTCCACTGCTTGAAATAAAATGAGCATATCTCAGTACTCAAAAATTCAAATTATTTAATTAGTATGCTATCTTCATCTTAAGTCAAAATCACTATGATAAAACCTAATTTCAATGAATAAAAACTCAGAATTTTCTAAGTGAAATTGTATTATCATTGATTGCAAGACCAGTTTAAATTATGCAGCAATATATTTACTAGTATATTACTGTAGAAGATTGTTTTAGTTACCAGAGGCCAGGGATGAGGACACTGGGTAGATGCTGCTGTAAGGACACGAAATTTTCATTTGACAAGAGCAGTAAGCTCAAGAGATCAGCTATACATCATGATGACTATAGCTAATAAAAACACTATGTACTTCAGAAGTTCTGAGAAAGTAAAGTGTTTTTGTACCGGGGATCAAACTCACAGGTTTGCACAAGCCAGGCAGGTGCTTGCACTGCTGAGCTAAATCCCTGGCCCGAAGAAAGTAAATTTAAGCAAAGGTTTCCCTCACAAAAATTGTAAGTGTATGAAGAAATGCATATGTTAAGCAGCTTGATTTGCCACCCCATAGAATATACAGATACCAACATAATCATGTTGTATGCTATAAATAAGCAAAATCTGAAAAAAGGAAAAGAAACAAAGATCCCAACAGTATTTCATTTTAAAATTTGAAAAAAAAGAGACAAAGACACCAATATTATTTGAAAATATTTAGAAAACTGTACCTAAAAATCCTGATGAAATTTTCAAGAAAACAGCATTTTAAAGACATAATGATAAGTCATTCTTGGGCTTTACTACCTCTTTCTAACATCTCCAAGAGGGTTTGTGTTATAAAGGAAACTTCAATCTGGAATAAATATATTTTCAAAATTATAAATTCATAAATTTTATGTTAAGATGTTTAGTCATATAAAATACAGTCATGATAATAATCCCATGTATTTTTTTTAAAATATAGGGGAATTCATTAAAAATGTTACTTTTGTTGTGTGTTATTTTTAATAATATATTAACATTCTGTTTTCATTATAACGAAGTAACCACAAATTAGGGGCAACTGTAGAGTAAAAAATAGTCGTTTTCTTCAAAAAGCAAAACAAACAAACCAAAAAAACCCTCTAGTTTGTATTGATGCTCAAGGCCCAGGAATAGCCAAATCATGAGCAAAACAGCAAAGCTGTACCTAAGCACATTACAAAGCCGTGGCATCCAAACACCCAGCACTGGCGTAAAAAACCAGAAAGGGCAAACAGAGCAGTGCGTTTATGACAAACTCTTTTGGAGATGTTAGAAAGTAGTAGTTAAGCTCAGGAACGCCTTCTTATCATTATGTTTTTAAAGAACTGCTTTCTCTACTTTCATAGGGATTTTTAGGTACAGTTTCCCAGAAGCAAACTCACACATCCACAGCTAATCAATTTTCCACAAAGGTGCCAAAACTTACACTGCAAACAGAATAGCCTTCTTAGTAAAATATTCTGGGAAACTGGATGCTTTATGCAGATGAATGAAGCTGGACCCCTGCCTCTGACTAAACACAAAATTCAACTCAGAATGGAGCAACAAAGAGCTACCCCCACCCTGAAGTTGTGAAACCACTAGAAGAAAACAGAAAACTTAATACTTTGGTATAGGAAATGATTTTTTGAATAAGACCTCCAAAAGCACAAACTACAAAAGTAGAAATACACAAATAGAATTGTATCAAGCTAAGAAGTTTTAGAAAAAAAGAACAGAACAAGAGATCTACAGAGTAAAGAGGCACCTGACAGAACAAGGGAAAACATTTGCCAACCATTCATCAGACAAATGATTACTATCTAGACCATCTAAGGAAAAATATTGAACTACAAAACTCAGCCCTGGGTTTAGCTCAGCGGCATAAGCACCTGCCTTGCAAGCAGGCAGTCGTGAGTTCGATCCCCAGTACCGATAAAAAGGAAAAAGACAAAAAAAAAAAAAAAAAAAAAACTCAGCTCTACTTAAAAATAGACAAATAATCTACATACACATTCCTAAAATACAAGTGGCCAATTTCACTAGACACAGAGAAAATGCAAATCAAAATCACAAACAGATATATTGGTTATATTCAGAAAAGCAAAAAATTCCAAATGCTGGTAAAATATAAAGAAAGGAAACTCTAGTGCGCTGCAGGTAGGAATGTGAATTGGTACAGCCATTATGGAGCCCAATATGAAGACCCCTCAAAAAATTAAAAATCAGCCTACGTGATCTAGTTACACCTTTTTGGGTATATATTTGAAATAAATGGCATTAGTTTATTGAGGAATTATCTGCACTGCATTTTTATTTATAGTAGCTAAGATGTGGAATCAACCCAGGTAATCATCAATAGATACAGAAAATGTTGTATATTTACAAAATAAATGGAAAGAGATAGAAGGAGGTTGGGTAATAGTTACCAAAATACAGTTAAGAAGAATAACTTCTAGTGTTCTAAGTACTATGCTTTGTTAGTACCATAAATAGATACATAAATAGATAAATATGTGCATTTGTGTTACAATATGTATGATAGCATGCTGTGTATCCCATAGATATGTACAATTATTATATGTTAATAAGAAAGAAAAAATAATTGCTAAAACTCAGTTTATCAATATGTTGCTTGATTTTAGAGAATATTTACCTGGTCATGGATGCACTGCAAAACATCCCCTTCGCAGCACCCATAATACATAGAAGAAACATCTTTCAGAAGAGAGGTAAGTTCCCTAAATTCAATCTTGGGGAATTTTTTACTGAACACAGCAATGTTTCTGAAACAAGAATTGAGAGCCACTGAAATGGTGTGAACAGCAGGTACAAGGGGGCGCTCTGAACTGAAACAAGCTGACCAGTTCCTACAGCGTGAGACTATTAGTGTTGCACAGACAACTCTATCAAATAGCTGGAGGGGGCTTCACAGCCCATGGGCTCACTCTGAAAATCCTAGGCGGCTACTTAGGACCTTAGCATCCCGTATTTGAACAAAAAAGACTTTCTGCTCTTTTCTGTAATTGTTACAGAAAGACACTGTGTGAAGGTCATCATTCCTGATTTGAGCTTGTGACAGGCATAGATAATCCGTCACAGACTGACCAAAATATCTCAGAAGTACCCCCTTGTTTTTGAGGCTTTCCCTCCCCAGTCTTCTTTCACACTGTCCTAATAAGCTGGTTCTGAGCTATCCTCATAGACACATCCACCTCAAACCCCCTAAACACTCAGAAAAATAGAAACAAAAGTTCAACAAGTATTTAACAATAATGGAACACAGACAAAGAAATAGAAGTAGAGATAAGATATATATTACAAAACTCACATAGAGTTTAAGACTTTCGGTCCAAATTTCATAAGGGCCCCACAGACATTTTTTTGATAAGAAGAAAATGCTTTTAAATACTGTGTAATTGGTGTGGCCTGAAGGAGAAAAAGAAAATTCTATTGAAACAAAAGCAAAATCTTACTATTTGCTTCTTTTAAACTACCTATCAACCAAACTTTTCCAGGATTTTTTCAGAGACAGAAAATCTATTTTTATTTTATTTATTTTATTTTACTATAGTTAGAGATTGAAAAATGTGCTGTAACACGTGTGAATGGTGAGGCCAGGGCCCGGATGCTGGCTTGCCTGCGGGGTACAGGTACGGTGCTGGCCTGGCCAGGCAGGTTATGGTGAGCTGCCTGTCTGTGCAGATGGCTCCATCACCATCAACAATGTCATTAAGGCCTTGTTAAGATTTAGTGCCATCTTCCACTTCAGATTTTCATTCAAGAAAGATCTCTTCCAATTACAAGGAAAACAAAGCCAAAAGAGAGGCCCTAAAAATGAGTAACTGTCTTATACCAGTCTTGAGTAAACAGAATACTCAGAAGAGCAGCTGGTGGCCAATGGATTGGGAATCAGTGACCATGGCAGGATGGTGTCAAACCTGTAAATGACTCTTGACCTGATTTTGTGCTGAGTGAGGATGTAGAGGCCTCATCTTGGATGGCTCATTTTCTCTTTAATGGAGCAAATCCAGTACTCACCTTTTCCTGAAAACAGTTGGCTTTCTGTTGTTCTTCACAACAGGTTTTTGCAACTTCTTCAAAGCGAGCAGCAACAGTAAGAAGTGTAGGGGCGAAGACAAAGGGGTTCCTTCTGGCAACTTCATATATATATCTGTAAAAAATTTAAAAATTTTTAAAAAGGAGACAAGAAGAGAAAGGGAACAAACAAGAAAAAAAAAGAAACAAGGAAAAGAAGGAGGTGGAAAAGGAAAGGGAAATTGTAAAAATGAAAGCAAAAGGAAGAAGGTTTGTCATAATAGAAAAGTTCTACGCAGGTCAGCATGATCCAGTCCCCAGTGAAAACTGCACTGAGGACTTCATCTCCAAGTCCCTGCCTCCAAGTTCGGGGCAGTGATCACAGTTCTGACCCTGAGCACTGATCTGTGAATACTCTCCTTGTCCCTTGCTGGCAAGTGGACAGCAGCTCTCCCTTCTGTGTTCAAACAGTGGTCACACACAGCCCATTCCAGATTCAAGGATCCTATTTACAGTACTTGTGTTTAAATAAACCCGTGACAGTTTTCAAAGCACCTCAACTTTCCAGAAAAAAACTCTGCTTCTGCAATTAGTGAATAAAAGACAGATCTTTGATCATCCATTTAGTAATTTACCATTTACCTGAAGTTTAAGAACAAAGTTGCAATTTCCCCTTGGGAAGAAGAAATTATTTCTTCTTGTGCTTCATAGCAATTTAACACTAAACATACTTCTCTGTATCCTGGGGCTTATTACATTAGAAGATGCACATCACTAATGTGAAGGTTTTCAAAGAAGAGCGTTTGCATCAAAAGCCCCCCTCCCATCATGTGTTCAAGGAAGGTGATTACACTGCAGAGTGGGATCAGTCCACCAGTAACTTTGTAGCTGGATGGGCTGTTAAAAGGTGCCACTGGAGTTCCAGGTGGGGTCTAGCTGGGGAAGCAAGACAGAGTATGGTTTTGAAGGGTCTACCTTGTCCCCCCCCACCTTGCTCTCCCTCGAGCTCTCTCCCTAGCTCTCCATTTCTTGGCTGCCATGAAATAAGCAGCTGTCCTCCACTTCTTCCACTATCATGTTTCACTTGGAACCAGTTGATCTCTGAAACTGAGCCAAAATAAACCATTTCTCCTTGAAGTTTAATCAGGTGTTTTTTCCAGTGAGGAGAAACTGACTGATACAATTTCTCTCATTTGTATCTGTCTCCTCAACTCTGAGCACAGAAAGCATTATGTATATTGGATAAATTAATGAATAAATAAACCATGTTCCTGTGAAAGAATAATGTTTCAGTTAAATCATTTTGCTATTAAAATTGAACTTACTGATTTAGAAAAGAGTCTCTGGTATTTTTATAAGCCTCACATTTCTCTTCAGGATCCAGAGTAGGGAAAGGAGGCAGAAATCCTACATTGGCTTTCTTGTTATAAAAGAAACAGAGTCTTCTTTTAAAGTCAACTTTCCTACAGCAATGTGAAAAGTTATATTTCTGAGGCAGCCCCTCCATGGAACACATCATTTCCTGTAAAACATTATTCTGAACAGCAAAGAGGAAAAGAATGATTTTTAGTCATGATAAAGCTATTCTGCCTTCTGAAAATGACACAATAAACCAATGCTATCTTTTGAGAAAGAGATGGCAATTTCCCAATCCTTACCAAAACCATTTTCACTCATTCCCTTGTCAGCCATCTCGCATTTTGGGAAATCTATCTTGCCCAGGACCCCTTAACCCATTACTCTTTCGTGGCTGCTCGCATTGTCCTTGCAGTTTGGCTTTTCTCATTTCCCAAAGTAGCAAGTGCAGTGTGTTAATGTATTGGAGAAGGATTTACTAGTATTGTTTAGTAGTACTAGTATTGTCTAGACATAGAGAAGTTGCTCCCCCAAAAAGGGGAGCAATCATAGGGCATATGTTGAGAGGAGACACCTAAGAATGGTGCCTCCTTCCTTCCATATTCTTTTTCAGGCTATTAAGCCTCCGATGCCTGGTGATCCACTTTTGGAACACCCAGAACAATGGAACAAAATAAAAGATTTTTTTTCTCTTCAATTCCTGTTCCTTGGATTTTTCTAGGTACCATGTATGAATTTCATGCAAGAATTCAAAAACTTGCCATCCTTGGCATAAATGAGTTAATTGCCTTCCTGCCTGTCTTCATGGGATACTGTGTGAAAAGCATATTTATATGTATTACAAGCACACACCCAAGTCTTCCAAAACATCCTAATGCAGAATTGCACTTCTTCTGAAGAAAGTGACCTGTCATAAATTCTGGAATTGTTAAAATAAAAATTACGTGCATAGGCATCTTTCTTTTCATAATTCTAAGCCAGAAATTCTCTAAACTTTGACAAATCACCTCATGTATGCAAGAATTGCGAATGATTTACTCACAGCCAGTTTTGAACACTCTGGAAGTGTCTTGTCACCCAAGCACTTATCTTTGTATTTCATCATATCTTTGATCAGCATTTCCATGTCATCAAATGTTGCTTCCTGGACATACTGAGCAAATGCAATGATGGTCCTACAACAGTCCACATGGGGCACATGGTGACTCCTGGCAGAATTTCCACAGATGTCTAATAAAAATCCACAGCAACAACCACTTGCTGAATTAAATTATTTAAGAATTAGTGCTATGAATTTGGCATATTCTTGACAACTTAATCACCTCATCAAGATTTTATAATTAATGTTATATTTACTTTTTTCATATGATATTTATATAATTATCTCTGAGAAGCATTAACATTTCTGGAACCTGTCAGATAAGATTACAATAAACATCATCAAAAGGAATCTAGCAAAGAAGCCAAAAATATACACTAGATAAAGGACTTTTTAAATAAATTGTGCTGGGTAAGTTAGATATTCACAGAAAAATTGAAATTAGATCCCATCTCTCACTATGTATAAAGGTCAGTTCAAAATAGATCAAAACCTAGGCATGAGACATGAAATTTTGAAACTACTAGAAAAAAACAGAGGAAACCCTTGTTGCCCTAAGCACAGGCAAAGAGTTCCTTTGTAGGGCTCTAGCTGCACAGAAAATAATAACAAGAATCAATAAATGGGATTGTATCAAATTTCTAATTTTCTGTACAGTGACGGAAACAACTAACAGAGTAAAGAAACAGTCCACAAAATTGGAGAAAATCTTTGCCGACTACATTTTCAACGGAGGATTAATATATAGAATATATAAATAACACAAAAATCTAAATACCAAATAGTCAAATATGTCAATCAATAAATTGGTTAATTAATTGCATAGATGTTTTGCAAAAGTACAAATGACCTATAAGTACATGAAAGACAATTCAGTATCTTTATTCATTAGGGAAATGCAAATCAAAACTACACTAGATATCATCTTGCTAAAATCAAGAATATAAAAAACAGTACATGCTGGTAAGGATATTGGGAGGAAAAAAGACTTGTCCACTGCTAGTGAGAATGTAACTAGTATAGCAACTGTGAAAATCAGTGCACAGGTTCCTCAAAATACAAAAAATAGACCCATTTATACCACTTCTTCCTATATATTCAAATAGCTTTTTCTAGGGACACATGCGTAACTATCTTTATTTTGACACAATTAAAAATAACCAAGATATGGAACCAGTCTAAAGGCCTGGATATGGTTTATATCTAGATGTTCCCCTCAAAATCTTATGCACTCATAGGTGGGTCTTTTCAGAGGTGTTTCCATCTAGGGTGTGTGAATATGGGTTAAATTAGTCCTCTGATTAGTTTAGCACTGAACTGGGTATAGATAATTTTTGTAAAATAAATAGGCATATTAAAAATACATAAGCATTTTTAAAGAATAGAAATTTTTAAAAGACTAAAAGAAGGAAAAAATTGTGTACTTGTTGATATTACAGAAATTTATGGTGCTTGTTATATAAAAACATTAAAACTGTATTTGCAAAACAAGGAGTCCAGCGAAACTCACATGGATGCAGTGTTCTCATTTATAAATTTCTGGGTAACATTGAAGTTATCTGAAAAACAAGCATATTTATTTATATATCCTGGCATTTTAACATTTTCACTATAAATAGCTATATAAGGCATTTAAGAATGTGAAGTGTAAAACACAGCAGTATAAAGTAATTTAGTGCATCTAATAAGGAAGATAGAAGTCATATGAACCAAATATGATGCTAATCAACTAACTATACATTTAAGAAACACTAAATTGAATTGATGCGAATTAATCTCAATCCGACCATATTTTAGATTTGCTATTGATACAAATGCCAAATACAACACCATCTCCTTACCTAATGGCTTGTCATTTACAACCAAAACTCTAGTAATATGAAGATTATGGGTAGCTGATGTAATTCCAGAACAGGGCCTAAAGGGACATGCTATGGCTGGCTGCAGGTCAATGCAGTTTATGGTATTAGTCAGATGCAGAATCCCTAAACTCACAGATTTTTTCCCAATGAGTACATAGTGACCAGAAGACACTTATGTATGTCCAGACTACAGTTCTGGAGTCTTTATGTCTTGCAAAGTATGCTGAACACCATGAGGCAATGAACAATGACCAAGAAAGATTTCTCCTCTAGATCTCTGGGTCCTAACCACACACAGCAGATGCCTAGAGTTGTACATGTGACTAAACTCCAATTTGAAAAGTGCTTAAGTACTTTTCAGGAATGCTTTAAGATCCCTGAATAAAGAAAAGGTTTATGTGGGATAGTAATATGCTCATTTCCACACAATCGGGTGTGCTATGTCTTATATGTCAGAATCTCCCCCAGTGACTCTCAAATAGGACAAGATAAGAACTATTTGTCAAATGGATGGAGGAATAATGTTCAGAAAAAGTAAACATTAGGAGACTTCTTGCAATATTTTTATTGAGAAGTCAATATGAAATTAATTTTGATAGAAATAGAAATGAAAAGGAAAGTATAGGTGCAAAAGATATTATACAAACAATAATTGACAAGATTTTTAAAACAAGGAGAGGAAGAACTCAGGAATGATCATTCTCACCAAGCGCTATGACATCTCACTAGCAGGCACTTGGGACTGTGAATAAAACAGATCCACACTGTCAGGGTCAGTATCACATAGGACCTTTTGTGAAAACTACAGAAAACTCCAACTCCCAGGTCAGAGGGAGTATTTAAAAAAACTTTCTTTGAACAAATGAAGTTAAATGTTTTCCCATTTGAGTATGAGAAATATAAAGGTCACCTCCTCCTCCAGGTTTACACTGCCTTGAATAGTATCAAGGGGGTTGCAGAAAATGTACAGTTGGACAGTGATTAAGGTCTTGTGTGCTCTCAAAATATTTACCATCTAGTTAAGAGGTTCACACTGGGCAACCACATTCCTCCCCAAAAATCTCAACTCATGTATGTTGTTCCATTGTTACCATAAATAATACACATTTCCAATAAGCACCAGTGTTGTGATATTCACAGCATATCTCACAGCAGCACTTTCTATCTTGCTATCTATCAGTTGCTGACCACTTCCTGAGTGTGAAAACTGGCTGCCTACAGACTAGGTAATGTGATTAGCAAACTCAAATTCCAGAAAAGATTGATGAGATAACTGAGCTCAATAAATAAACATAAGGAGAGGGAGAAAAGGGTAAGAATTAAACTGAAAAAAAGTTTTAAAAAAGGAGAAAATATCCTAATTCAGTCATTCCTTACTGATACGCAGATAAATTTCTTACCGACTTCTTGAAGCTGTGTGGGCAGGGTTAGGGACTCAATCAAAATGAACAAGAAGAAAATAAAACCTGTAAATTTTAACTGCTGCATTTTTTAAAAAAGAAATAATATTCACAAAAGAAACCACTGTGGCTGAGGTCTCAGGTTTTTATGTCTCTGGAATGTCATTAGTTAACTAGTAACCTGTGTAATCTGGTTTTGAAACACTACATATTTGATTTCCATTTGATCACATCACAGAATTTCCTGAGAATTATTAACCAGAAAAAAACAATCCTCTTTATTTCACTGGAAATAATCTATTGGGTTGGAAAAAAGGTCCACAAAATCTTCAAACACTATAAATATTAAAGAAAAAAGACTAGAAAAGATAATAAATCAAGTAAGTACAACTAGAAAGATATTAAATTTCATTCTTATTCAAGAGAATTTAAAAATAATAAAATTCATGTCTGATAGGATTAGAGCAAAAAAATAATAAAAATATCTGAAATTGAAATTCATATCAAATCAAGTGCTGGCATAATGAAAGTTTTTGGAAAACAAATCTATAGTAAGGATTGATAGTCTTTAAAATAGTCACATCATGTGAACCAAACATTCAAATTCTGTGACCCTATACTACAAACATGATTTTACATTTGGAAATATTTTCACTGCATAATGTTAGTGTGAGCTTATCATATGTGGCTTTTATTATGTTATATACATGATTTGCTGAAAGTTATTGTCATGAATGAATATTGAATTTTGTCAAATATTTTTCTGTCTTTATTGAGATGATCACTAGGGTTTTGTCCTTTATATTGGCATGTAGTTATGTCATACATCTCGATTTATTAATGTTGAACCATTCTTTCATTCCAAGGGTAAATCCCATTTGCTCATGGTGAACAATCCTTTCAATGTGCTATTGAATTCAATTTGTTGAGAAATTTTTATAAGAAGTTTTTTCATCACTGGTCAATGGAGATATTGGACTATAATTTTCTTGGTTTATTTGTTTGTTTGTTTGTTTTTATCAGTACCAGGGATTGAACACGCGACAGCCTGCTTGCGAGGCAGGTGCTTATGCTGCTGAGCTAAATCCCCAGCCCCAGTTTTCTTTTCTTGTAATGTGCGTATCTGGTTTTGATATTAGGATAGTTTTGGTCTCATAAAATGGATTTCGAAGAATTCCCTCTACTTTTTGTTTTGAGGAGTTTGAGAATGATTGCCATTAGTTCCTGAGATGTTTGATAAATTTCAGCAATGAAACTAACCTACAGAAAGTGTGTTCTCCTGCATGGATAGAATGTTTTGTATGTCTATTGCACATTTTGTCCCAAACCAGGCAGGACTTGCCTCTCTATTTCTGGTAGCGACTGGCTCTGCATCATGCATGTGCTATGCTATTGGCTGCTTTGATCATCACTGCTAGACAAAAACTAAGACACTATTCAGCTCTGCATGCTGGTTGTTGCCATATCTCCATTATTTGTTTCTTCAGGCTCCAGGTAGCTTAACCATGTCTTTACCCTCAGCGTTCTACACAAGGCAAGATAGCAATGGGCCTCCTGAGTCCTGTCCTAGAGTGCTGGGCTAGCTAGATTTTCACCTCTAGTGCTCCTTCTCACTGCTGTTACCATAAACCCAAGAAAATCCTTCAATGTGACTCTGCATCTGATGGGAGAAACAGTGCTGTCAAAGTAATACCTTCCTCCTTAGAACGTGTTGGTTTGGGTTTGAGTTCTGTGATCTATGCATTTGTCTTTGTCCCATTTGCAGCTGCTAGAATTTTCATGAAAATGTTCTGCCATCTTGATGGTACGTTTCTTCTAAATTTTTCAGTCTATTGCTGTGACTCATTGCATAAGCTCTTCCAAATATAAATTTTTCATAGATGCCAAATCTTTGGTCTTTATGAAGCTGATGGCATTCCTCTCCAAGTAAATCTTAAGCTTCAAATAGTCTTATTTAGTACAAATTCTCATATTATCTTGAAACTGTTTTATATACCATGCATAGTGATTCAGGTGAGTAACTAGATTACTGTTTTCAGGAATCATAATGTTCAGTGTGTAAGAAAAGAGATAATAGCAGTTCAATCTAAAACCCTGCACCATTTTTAATGAACTTTATAAAGCACCTTTTTGGAGATGTAGTTGATATACATGAGTTGTATGTAAAATATACTGCTTGTGGCATGAAAGCGGAGACTCAAGCATACCGAGCTGCAGTGATGACAGGAAACCCTGGAGCCCTCTATGGAGAGGGCACCAGTGGAATGGAGCAGGGATGCACCGGGCTGCAACAGCAGCTGAGTGACTCCCATCCAAATGTCCCCATGAGAGGATGACTGAAGGGATGCCATTTTGGAGTGGTACCAGCTCAGCCTAGGATTTGGAGCAGTGTTATGGTTTGATAACTAGTGGTCAACTTAACGACAGCTGGATTACATCAGCATGCATTGAGAGAAGATGCTCCACCTGAGAAGGGTTGCCAGGATAAATAGGTGGAGAAGAAGAGAGGTGTGAAGAGGGATTGAGGCATTATGGAGGCATTGTTAGTTCTCCTACAAGTTGCTGTCTGAGCTGTTGGATCTCCTGGAGAAGCTTTGGTCTTCACATCGAGCATTGCTTCCTGGCTCCGGAGGGGAAGACATGTGCTGCCTGGTCTCCAGGGTGAACTCGTCACGCTGCTTCCTGGCACGTTCTCGACTGTGCTTGTCGTCAGAGGAGCTCGGGGCCTCCGTGTCGCTGAGGACAGCTGTGGTGCCTTTCAGGACAGCCCCGCTCTTTGTTGTGAGTATGACTTCTCAGCTCCAGTGTAGAACCCTCATCCCACTAGCACAGCTCCTTCATCCTGCTGGCATGGACTTTCTGGCTTCCACCGCTGACCCTTGGGTCTTCCCGGCACGAATCCGTAAAAGAGACTGGTGTGAGTCCTTCTTGTGGGCTCTGGACTTCCAGTTGGACTCGCGGAGGCGTTGTTCTGAGCTCTGGGTTTTTATCTGGACTCATGTGGGACATTGCCATGGGGTTTAGGCTCTTGACTTAAATAATATATGTCGTTGGTGTTGTGGATAGATTTCCTGCATTCTCCTGTGTTAACTTTCAGTGACCATTATAAACATATCATAAACTCCATGTCCTGACCTGAATTGTTCTCTGTGTACAACCCCTGACTAAAACAAGCAGCTTTTTGGGGTTGGCTTCATCTCAGGACTCCCAGTGTCTAGGTAAGGTGCAGTCTTGGGAGGAGCTCAGGGTTGAGAAGCAGAGGTCAAGAAAAACCCGGAGAGTTATGGGATGAACAATTCAGGTCACAGACCCACAACTAAAGACGAGGATAACCTGAACTTCTGCAGAGATGAATTGCCACCCCCACTATTTCTATTGAGGCTGGCTGAAATTACACAGCACCATACTCTAATCCTACTGTAGGCTTTCTGGGGTCCTACAATATGGATCTGGGCTCAATCTGCTTCCTTTATCTACCACAAACATCAAAGACAGACTCTGAGGTAGACACTACCACAAAAGTGTAGACCACAGAAGATTATCACGGGTTTGAAATCACCAAGAAATATCTCTTCTTGAAATTTTTGCCTTTAGTTTTTGTTTTTGCTCTCTCTTTTTTGCTTTCCTCCTCTTCTTCACTAGTCTGCAAAACTTAAGTCATTTTCCTTTGTCTTCAACCTTGCTTCTAATCTCTTTCTCTTCTTCTGTTTCTCTATTTTTCCCTCCTATCCCTTTTTAAATTTTCTCCCCAGAGGGTAAAATTGCTCAGTTGAGAGGATATTGACTGCATATGGTTTTCTGTATTGTTTTACATTCTGTTATATAACTATAAAACTTGTACCTATGATGAAAGATGAGAAATTAATAGTTACCACAGTTTGCATTTTCTAGACTATGCTAGATTCTTTTGTTATCATTGACTGTATTACTTTGCCCATGGTGGCATAACTGTTCTAATCAGTTCTTCTTCCTTGTATGCCAAGCGTTAAATCCGTATCACAGTTTTGGGAATATGACCATTTTCACAACGTTGGTTCTTCCTATCCATAAGCAAGGAGTATTTTTCTATTTTCTGATATCTTCTTCAATCTCCTTTTTTAGAGTGCTATAAATTTCATTGTATAGATCTTTTATTTCCTTTCACTGATTCCTAAGTTTTTCTTTTCTTTTCCTTTCTTTTCTTTTTTGGATGCTATTGTGAAGGATATGGTTTCTCTAATTTCTCTCTCAGTCAATGTGTTGTTTGTGTGTAGGAATGCTATTGACTTTTGAGTGTTGACTTTCTATCCAGTTATGCCATTGAATTTGCTTACTAATTCTAGAAGTTTTTTGGTGGGAATAGTGGACATTCTTTCTCATTCCTGATCTTAGAGTAAAAGATTTCAATTTTTTTTCCATTTAGTATGATGTTGGCTGTTGGTTTGTCATAGATGGCTTTTATAAGATGGAGGAAAAGACTATTTATTATGATTTTCTATGGATTTTTTTATCATGAATGAGTGTTGAACTTTATCAAAAGCTTTTTCTCATCTAAGAAGATGATCACATGATTTTTGTCTTTAGCTCTGTTGATGTGGTGTTTTACATTTATTGATCTGTGTATGTTGAATCATTCTTTCATTCCTGGGATGAATCCCACTTGGTCATGATGTATAATCTTGATTTGCTGCATTCTGTTTGCTAGTATTTTATTGAGGTGGTTTTTAAAAAAAAAAAAACTATGTTCATTAGGGTTATGGGTCTGTAGTTTGCTTTTTTTGGTTGGGATTTTCTCTAGTTTTGGTAATCAAGTAATACTTGCCTCTAGGAATAAATTAAAGAGAATGCTTCCCTTTTAATTTCAGTAAATAGTTTTAGGGGTATTAGCATTAAATCTTCTCTAAATTTCTTATAGAATTCAACTGTGAATTCATCAGAACCCAGACTTTTCTTTGTTGGTAAGTTTTTAAATATGTTTTCAATTTTATTAACTGATATTGGATTCTTCAATATTTTTATACCTTTTGATTCAACTTTGGTAATTCATACTTCTAGAAGTCGCTCCTTTTTTTCCTGTATTTTCTGTCTTATGTGAGTAAAGATTTTCAAAGTAGGTAATGATCATCTGAATTTCCACAGGTTCTGTAGCAATTTTA